GCCGCACCCTGTACGGCTTCGGCGCCTAATCCTGCGACCGTACCAAAAGAATCATCTGGTGTTATTAAACACCACCATACCACGGAAATACATATATTGAGACCAAAGGAATCTTGGCATTCTATAGTCACTGGCAACAAAGCGTATGCTGAAGTAATTTGGCAAATCCTGGTTACAGGCATCAGTCAAAAGGGGTTGCTGGATTGTGAGGTGGATCCAGTTGCCTGGATTCATACTGTAACTGTGGTCAACTGCACAGTGATCTCCATCTTGTACTGGGTTGTCATACTTGATTGAATAGATGTTGAGTGGTGTTCCTTTGCAATGAAGTAAAAGAGTAATGGACATACTGGTGGTTTTTGCCCTTCAGCTCATCTCGGTCGCATGGGTGCGGAGGCGCGGCCCCGCGCCTTAAGTTCGCAACTTGGTGTTAGTTCCCTCTCTGTGGCGCACCATATGCCCTCCAAACCGCAATGCATGTCGATGCACATATGCTAAACAGGCGATACTTTCAGCTTGCCAGTTGATACGTCGCGACTAGGATACATCACCACCCACCCCGGTCTGTGAGGAACAAATACTCGTACGGAGTTTGCCACAGAGGCGTCCCTGTCGACTGTGTTGGCACTCGTACCCTGCCGCATGTCTAAGAACAAGGGGCTGTGGGGCAGCAAAGGCTGGAAGCGCGTGAATGTGGCGGATGCTCTCCTGGACACGGACGAGGACGGCTTCGTGGAGCTGGAGCAACTCGACGGGGCATACATGGGTGGGCCGTGGCACATGGATGCATGCGCTGTGGTTTTTTTGCAGTGCATCTTGAACTCAGTAGGAGTTTGCATTGCTGAACAATGCCGCTTTCCCCTCTGGCAACAGGCAAAATCTTCCAGGCACCCAGCGGCCCAGATGTCCTCATCCCGCCGGAGGCGCCGGCCCTGGGGACTGGCAAGAAGCGGAAGGCATCGTTGGCGACCACCACCACTGCCTCGCCGGTGGAGGACATGCGTGCCCAGCTGCGGCGGCTGAGGCAAGAGCAACGCGCCCTGTCTGCGCAGCTGAAGCAGGCCACCCGGGCAGTGGGCGGCGCCGGGTCTGAGGCTGGCGCCGAGGCGGGGAGCCCAGAGGGGCCGAGCGGCAATGACGACGCTACGGCGCTGGCGGCCGCGAAGCCTGTCGCCTTGCCGTCATCCTCGGACAAGAAGAAAAAAGCAAAGAAGACAAAGAAGAAGGCCACTTCTGCAGAGGCTGTGGCGCCGTCCTCCCAGACCACCACACCCACTCCCCCAGTGGACACCAGGGCCTGGGAAGGCCTGGGCCTGCACGAAGAAATCCTCGGCGTTCTCAGCACCTGCGGCTTCTCGGCCCCCACCGCGGTGCAGGTGGCCTGCCTGCCGTCCGCGCTGCGCGATCGCCGGGATATCATCGGCGCGGCGCAGACCGGGTCGGGGAAGACGCTGGCCTTCGGCCTGCCAATCATGCAGGCCCTGCTGAATGAGCGGCACATGCAGACGCCAGCTGCGGCGGAGGAGGGTCCCAGCGAGGGGCCGAGCGAGGAGGGCCACGGAGACGAAGCTCCGGCCCCCGCCGCCACGGGTGGAAAGCGCCGCGGCGCACTGCGCGCCCTCATCCTGGCGCCGACGCGCGAGCTGGCGCTGCAGGTCTGCAGCCACCTGGAGGTGTTTGGCCGGGCACTGGGCGTGCGTGTTGCGCCCATCGTCGGCGGCATCTCCTCCCAGAAGCAGGAGCGCCTGTTGGCGCACGCGCCCGAGGTGAGGGATCTGTGGGGTTGGGGTTAAGAAGGGGGTTGAAACCTGTCTCTCTGGCTTTCCCTGCAAGCGCCGGCATTCAGGATCTTAGTCTCGAAATCTCAGCCTGGAGAATGAAAAGATGGTATCCAACACCCCCCCCCCTTACTGAGAACAGTGGGCGTTCCCAGCCTCGTCCTTGTCCACCCCCCTTTCCACACCCCAAAACAAACTCACCTCCCTCCCTAGGTCGTGGTGGCCACCCCCGGCCGGCTGTGGGACCAGATGCAGTCGGGCGCCGCCCACCTCACCGACTTCTCGCGCCTCGCTTTCCTGGTGGTCGACGAGGCGGACCGCATGGTGCAGCAGGGCCATTACTCGGAACTGGGTGAGATCTTGGGGCGGGTGGACGGCGGCTCGGGCGAGGACGGCGGCCCCGCCCCCGGCGCGCCGCGCTCCATGCAGACAATGATCTTCTCGGCCACCCTCACCCTGCCTGCCAACCTGCGCCACCGCCTGAAAAAAGTGAGGCGCGCCGAGGAGGCTTTGGAGGGGGGGATGAAGGGGTGTTCTTTATCAGATGGTGATAGAATTGTTGTACCGGAGGGTTGTGGCATGCAGTTGTGCTTATCGGGCTGATCAAGCAGCTGCAGGCCCCTTGCAAGGAAGGCCATACTTATTCCTCACCCCC